CTCTTTTTTGTTTAAAACTTTGGTTCCATCAGCCTCCTTTTCCCACCCCCTGTATCCCAGGCTCGTAGTCAAGCTCAGCTTTGGGAAGGGAATTAGCAGGAACTGTTTCTTCAAAGCTGTATTGGCTTGGTTGTGTCCTCTCACTTGTTTGTTTTTTTTAACTTCCTGGTTTTCCTCCTTTCTTACACTTTAGGAGTGGTCCTTGAAACCCAAGACTGTTCTTCTGCACACTGATAATTGTTTAAGGCTCTTTTGAAATTGAGGCTTGCTAGTAGTTGGATTGTGCAAACAAGAATCAGAACATCTGGATTCTGTTTTATTTTGTCACTGTCTCACTGTGTGACTGTGGGCAAATAATGTAACCTCTGTGCCTAAATTTCCCCATCTGTAAATAATAGGAATAATACCTACCTCACAGGGGGAGGGGTTGGGACATACGTAATAGATATAAAGTCCTTTGAGATCTTTGAGTGAAAGGCACTATAGACATATAAAACTTTATTCTTGTTCAGATATGTAAAAACTCCTAGCTGGAGCAAGAACAGACCCCTGTCTTGAAGGAGGAAGTCACACAAACAGGGTGTGCCTATGCTCACAACCTTCTGTACAGAGACTGCAAGAGTGTATGTGCCTCTGCAGGTATATCTTACTGGCTTTAACGAGAGCTTCACTCTTCCCCAGTTTTGGCATTATGAATAAGGGATGTGGCCTTTATATGAGTACAGTAGGGTAGTCTGCTTTATTGCAGGGTACAGCATATCTTTTCACTCTTTTTGTAGAGATCAGTGTTCTTTTTGCTTATCTACTGACCATTTGGGTACAAATAACTGATTTGACAATGCTGCCAATGCAGTCCTCAGCCTGTTAGGGCAGTCCATGAAGGCAGTGTAGCCAAATACTTCTCAAAGCTGTCAGCACAGAGAACCTATGTGTTTTAAATGTTTGTAACCTGATGTTAAAAACCAGCATGTGGGGGGGGTACTGTACTTAAGGGTCTTTAGTTCTGTTTAAGGGCTAAAACCAGCATGTTGCCATTAGTCAAGCACACCTTTTTTTCCAAGCAATTACAGTATATTTTCCTGTAGAAAGGTCATACATTTCTTGTTTATCACGTTCCATGAGGTGTGTTTAATGGCAGAATTGCATTTTGCTGCCTTTTCCAGTGAATGCTCCAGTGCCAGCCTTAATGGTGCGATCCAGCTGCTGAAGCTGGGTAGAGTGTTGACTGAAGACAAGGTGTTCTGATGTGGAACTAAGATACTTTAAAAAAAAAACTTGAATTGCTGACACTTCTGTTAAGTGTAGACCTTTGGCATTATTGGTTTCTTAAGCATTCATCCATTTGTGTTTGAATTCTGAAAACTCAGTTTGTGATGTAGAGACCAAAAAAAAAGGTAAGCCCCACCCAACAGATGGTTAATTTGGGTTATGCTATAGAGAAAAACTCAAGGTATGACAATTCAGAGGCTGTGTCAGAGGGTCATAAAAGCAGGAGATCAAAACTATCTATTTTTCATACTCTCACCATTTTACCATCTGAAACAAAACTGGATCAGCTGTTCTGAAATGTAATGTTTTCTATCTAAAAAGTATCATTACAAACATCATAGAAAACATCATTTAAGACATCATCTGGAGTAGGTCTGTTTGTTTACTTGCATGAAGTGGGAGGTTACTTTTCTGATCATTAGTTTACTCAGCCCACTAAACTTTATGATAGTTGGCCAGTTACTTTTACCAAGTCAACCATAAGGTTTCTGTCAAGTCCCCAGCAGACAAGACTGCTGTAAAGCCAAGTTGTCCTGTCACCGCTTTTGCTTAGGGAAGTCGAGGATGAAGCATCAAAGCCCCTTTCCCCTCTGTCCCTTTTAGGTAACAACTTGGTGACACTGGTGTATAGCTGACCCATTACAAGTACTTTGCTCTGAAGACCATCTTCCCAAATACCAAATAGACATCGTTACATCAAGAGAACTAGGTAGGACAGATGACAAGGAGTCGAGGATCCAGATCAGGGTTTCCAGCCTAGATACTCTGTATTACAACGCTGACAAAAAGACTAGGTAGAAGTGTGACATTTGGTGTCATGGTTTGTTTGTTTGTTTTGTGGTGTTTTGTGTTTGGTTTGTTTTGTGGTTATGGGTGTGTTACATTGTTGTTTTGTTGGGGTTTTTGGGGTTTTGTTGGGTGAGGTAGTCTTTGAGCATCAGCCTATCACTCTCTTCCAGCTGGGAGCCCTGTGGCTACCCTGAGGTATCAGGCAAGAGGAGTCTGCTGTAGAACCAAAGCAGGCTTTAGCAGGTGGTGGGTATTCTCTGGCAGGCAGAGATTTGTCAGGTGCTTTACCTTATGCATCCCAAAAGCTGCTGCAGCTGGTGCCCTGAGGCATAGAGGCTATGTGCATGTTAAAGCTAGCTGGTATCCTCTCTGTATCTCCATCTATTCCACCCTGTCTTGATTTCCCTCCTTTCTTAATCTGTTGGGGAATTCCTTTCTAGCTGTGGGAGCTGAGGTGCTCCAAATCTCCACTGTAGACTGAGAACGTATGAGTCCTTCAACTTACAGGTCTTTTTTTTCTACTTGTTAGTATTCCTGTTTGTCAGGGAGACAAAAGTTCCAGAATACTGTTGATTGACATACCCTTCCTGCAGTGCTCTTGAGGAATATGGTGAAAAACTTTCTATTGAAACATTTTAATAAATGTATTGTTTCTTAAATAGCTGATTTTTTTTTTCTGAGAAAAAAGGTAAAATGAGAGCATAAAATCACTGAGCAGTCTAAACATAATGACAAAAGAATGGTGTAAAGTGTGTGTAAATAATTACAGGGCTCACAAAAAGGAAATGACATATTTTTAAACTGATAGTAATAGGATTGTTGCCGAGAGAAATCTTTCTGGTCTGGAAATGTATTTTATGTTAAATAGTCAGCTGTCAGTATATAGCACTAATTTATATAACTGATGTGGCCGTTTAGGAAATAGAAAAGAGTTTGCCAGCCGTTCAGAATATGCTATCTTTGTAGCATGTTTGTTTTTCCTACAAAACTTTGGGGAAAGCACAGGCATAGCCACCAGTGCAAACACTGAAAAATTATTTGACAGAGATTATGGAAACTGCACAATGCTCTGTTTTGCCAGCAAGTAGGCTTTATCTCCTTCCAGTCCTTTTCAGAGGTGCATATGTAACTCTCTATAGGTGTGTTGGGTTTTTTGTTTTCCTTCAGGTTATTATTATGATGGGTTGATATTCAGCATGGGGCCAGGAACCTCAGTGAAAATATTCTTTTTGTAATGGTTTTCTAATAAAGTGAGTATTTTCAAAGTGAATTTTTCATCACTGATGTGGAAAGGCCTGTTCTCGTTTGGCATGCTTTTATGATGAAGTATTTTTCTAGGAATGGGAGTAGTTGCCTTCCTGTTCATAGCATGCTTTAACTTAAGACTTGATGGACAATACTGCATAGAGATATTACTTGGATGTGGCATGAAACCAGATACCTCTTATTCTGTTGAAGGTGAGGCAGTAATGATCAAATAAAGAAAGGTCTTTGCCATCTAGAGTGTTATGTTAAATAGAAACTTACTTGAGTCACCTTTCTATATTAAGCTAAACTTTTATTTGAAACTTAATTCATCTCTGTGGGATGAATGTGGGAGCTGGAGTCCCATTAGATGTGTGAAACCAAACCTAATACTACGTTCCAGAATTCAATGACAGCCTGTTACTTTTGTAAGTCATTTTAATGGTTTTGTTTCTTTGGGTTTTTTTTTTTTTGAAACCTTTCATCTTGGAAAATGTGCTTATTGCTTTCTATTCTTTTCCATGTGTTCTAGAAATATTCCCAAGAACTCTTACCAATTACATGGCAAATAAGGAGGCTTATATCTTGCACAGTGATAACAGGTCATTCTTTTGGCTTCACTTTTTTCAGTATGAAACAAGGACTCCTACAGTTGGAAATTAAGATTTCTGATCCTTAATCATTCCCCTGTAACTGCAGAACAGTTTCTTAGCTTCCATATTTATAATTCACTTCAGGCTATACTTGGGTAAAACAGGACATTAAGATTGAGGGGATTGGCATGTGTTAAAACATATTTGCAAACAAGCAATAAAATAAACACAACATTTATGTGCAAAGAGAACCAAAACATGCTGGCACGGAAGGTAACTTTCAGACTTCATAACTATGGTCGATCATATAATTAAGATAGCTTTAGGAAAGAATGCATTCTTCTGTTTTTCTGAGTTTGCTATTGTAAGATGAGGTTGTGTTGATTTGCACAGCCAGTGGTATTGTATCCAGCTGGACAGAAAGGATCTTTTATCTCTTCCTTTTTATTTTTTCCCTATTTCCAATTCAGTTTGTGGTTTAGATTGTTTTGTTTTGGGGGATTTTTTTGTGTGGTTGACAAGCAAAAGACTCTTAAGAAGAACTTCTGTTTTGTTGTTTCCTCAGCCCTACTTTCACAGTTTTGTGAGGCAGTATGGAAATGCATTTAGGCTTATTCTGCTGCTCCCTGTATTGAATGCAGTAGTACGCAGTCACATGCTGCGATTAAAATGTGCATTTGCTTTTGTTTTTTTCTCATGCTCAGCCTTCAAGCAGCTTTGCCATTGGTCAGAGATGAATACAGCTTCTGAAATGACCTACATCAGCTTTATTTTTGAATGCTAAGAGAAAGTCATTCCCAGGCTGAGGTGTGTGCTTGATTAAAAGGTAAATTGCCACTGGTGACTGGGTGGTCAACTGATGTAGCTACCAGAATTATTATTGATTCTATCTAACAGAACTGCAACTGGGAAGTCTTCAGCATTTCATCAGTGTTGTGTACAAGAAACATGTTTCATCTCCCTCTGTACAGGAGTGAAAAATATTTTTCTTTTATTTTCTTTTTTCCTTTGGATCTAAATGACCAGGAACATTATTTTCCTACTGAGAATAGCTTCTTACACTGTTTGTGGTTTATTGGTTTTGCAGGGTTTTTGTTTGGCTGGTTTTCTGTTTAAGCCTGTGTAATACATATGTATGTATTAGGTGCATCCTGTGTTTCCAGGTGCCTTCCATCTCATGCCTCCTTGCTAGGGCCTGAGGTTCTTTTTTGGAGGGAACTCCCTGGTTGAAACATTTAGTGCTGTAGCGTTCTTTGTCACACATCAGGCCATCACACACCAGCATTGTAAACATCTCGTGCCCTCCCATTTAGTGATGTGCATACACCCTTGTGGAAATAAGTGTGTTATCTCTCAATGAGAATTCTGCCTCTATCTCATCTTTATTGGTTCTTAATTCTTGCTACCATAGTACTTGCAGGCCTAAGACAGAAACCAATACGTGTTTTAGGTGTGCTTTCAGCTAAAATGTGTCCAAGCTGGAAGTGTAAGACACAACTGGGGGAAGTGAAAGCAGAGGTTGGCAGAAAATAGCAAATAAAATAGTGAAATTATCCTTCTTAATGTAATAAGCAGAGGACAGAGGGATAGTAGCTGCTTGGTCATCTACTGGCCATTGTAGGTAAGTTGTGCCCTAAAGAAGTATTTAAGGAATGTGTACTGGGCTGGTTGTTCTATTTTATTTTACTCTGAGCTACCTAATTTGTAGAGACAAAATGGGAAGAAAATGTAAGTTTTGGTAAGAATTGCTGTAGGTTGGCAGTTGAGTCTGGAGTGACGGGAGGACAGAGGCAAGCACTTGTATTTGGCTCTTTGACATGCAAATTCCTGATGGAAAAATAAATCCAGCAATTCAGTTTTACAAGTTTACGCTTGCATTTGCTATGTATGTCTCCAAAAGAAACAATAAATGACAAGGCAGGGCGTTCTCTTGATGTTTTCCAGCCTGTGGAAGAGCTGATTATCCGCAGACCAAAAGGTGATTTCATATTGGTGACTTCTGCTTTGAAAACAGATCTTTTTAAAAATAATCTCGTGCTCTTACAGTGGACCTGCACACAATCAAGATTGTTCCCCTGTATTTGCAGTTTTGTTTTCCCAATATATCAGATCCTAATACAGTCCTTATTGTATCTGAATGCTAATAACGTGCAGACAGCCCAAAATTGTTAATATTAAGAAACCATGACACATTTTTAGTGTGTAGTGTAATAGTTAGAAGCTCAGCTTGAAGCGGGCTATTGTTAGGTCTGTAACTGATGGGTGAGATGGATGCATACCTGGGAAAAGGGGGCTTAGATCTGCAGGAGGAATGCCAAAGTTTTATTTGCTTGAATTATTTGAACAATAAGGGGGGGGGGGGGGGAGGAGGAGGAGAGAGGGGGGAGGAGAGAGCTTCATCATCCAGAAATACTTTTCTAGGATCTTGTCCATGCTCAAATTTTAGCTTGTAGGATAGCTACTGAGACCCTCCATTGTGTTCAAAATTTCTTGGCTGAAATCCCAAAATAAAACCAGAATAATGCATCTTATATATGCTATTTCAGAGTGATTGATATTTTCTCCCTGTTCTATCTTGATTGTTCCAATTAGCGTTTTCTCAAGAACAGATGTTGAGATTGGATAAAGCTAACCTCTTCTTAAAGTGAGACATATGGGTCTGATAAAGAAGAAACATTGTTCTAGCCATGCCCTGATGCTTTTGTGTCTTGCTCTCTTGGCAGCAGAGGTTATAATGGAGCAGAGAGACATGCTGCTGTTTTTTCCAAGCTTCATTGATAAGAATGTTGCTAACAGTTGATTTCATTATATAGAGATGAACAAGTTATTTGGGAACCTTTGTACTTCATTTCTCCTCACTGAGTTTCAGAACAACCCTGGCTTCTGATTACTGTTTGTCATAGCTCTGAGTGTTGCACAGCGAGCTTCTTGAGTTCATCTACATCTGGAGTAGAACTGAGCTTCTTCCTTGGGTTCTCTGGAATTTGTGAACGTGGCCACTTCTCAGCTTGAGTAATGTATTTTGTCCCAGGCCCAGTTGGTGTCACTAAATGAGCTGTCATCCTCAACTGATTCCCCAGATATTCATAGCAGGCTTGTTCTTCTGTCTTGGGTGCTTTAGTGAGCAGCTCTTACAAAGTCAACAGGGTTAGCATTTGTATCCAAATAGGGCAACTAATACCTCTGAGCTGAATTTCCACACTGAATCTCAAGCAGATGTTACTGCGTTAGTTCTGCCATTGCTCTGTTTTCAAGGTTATCTTGACAACCATAACATCTAGAAATCCTAGACTGTAAAAGAATAAAGCCACAGCAAAAAAAAAAAAAAAACAAAAAAAAAACAAAAAGAAAGGAAAAGAGTTGAGTTTGGACAGAGTAAAAGCCGTTCTTTGTGCAACATAGGTCTCTTTGGAGGATGGCTAAATTCCAAGTGGATAATATATGTAGATCCATTTAAAGTCAGTAGATACCCGTGTACCTCATATTTGGCAGTTATAATAGCAAACCATGTAAAACCAAGGACATCTAGTAGTAAAAGTTTATATTTAGGGTAATTAACTTTGAAGTTAAAAGGGAAGAAGCCTCAATTCAAGAAAGCTGTTCATCATGTACTTAAGCATCACTGAAGTCAGTGGAATATATCTGTGGGTCAAAATGTACAAGACCCCAGTTCAGCAAAGCTCTTTTAACCTAAACTGGGGGATTGTCCTGTAGAGATTAATGGTGAAGGACCAGGCTCTGTACGTTGATTGTCAGAGGAAGGAGTCAGTTTACCTGAGGATGGACTTCCTTCACAAGCCTCTGGGTAAATGCTGGTTTGATTGCTGACTCTTGTGGCCTTTCTGTGACTGCACATGCCATGCCTTTTTGATTGCTAGTTCTTATCAGAAACAGGGTAAGCTTTGAGAGTGTTTTCTGATGCAAGAAGAAAGAACAACTACTTCTGCATTAGTGCATTGCCAGCTGTAAAGGGGCAGTAAGTGGTGCATGGAGGTTGTATGTGCAAATGTCAGTTTAACCTGAGGCCTTTTCTCAGGTGTTTTTTCTCATTTTAAAAATGCATCCCTCCAGGCTGGTGGACAGATGTGACAAGTTCAGCAGTGGTCAACATCCACCCCTGTTACTAGGGTTCTTGTTTGTCAGCTGCTGGCACAGCACTTTGTGCTGGTATGTGTGATTTCTTTGTCACAAATTCAGGACAAGCTGAAAATATCTTAGATGATTTCTTTTGCCTGACTTGAGAGGCTTATATGGAGTGGGCAGGGCAACAGTGGTGGAAAAATCAGGGAAAATACCTGTGCTTTTAACAATGTCTCTTCTGTGGCTTTGAAAGTCTCAAGAATTTCTTAGCCAGAGAATGTATTTCCTCCCTCTTTTTTATAAGCTACTTCTTTCTTTTGCCTTATTAATTGTGGATCTGCTCCTGCTTCTATTTAAAGCCAGATGCAAAACTCAGTGACCTGACTTTCCTAGGCACAATATTGTAAATCTGAAGAACCAGGTGAGTAGATTACTCTAGTGTAAGATCATGCCCCCATGTCTGTTCTTTTGGGATGTGGGATAGTTCCTGCTTGTGTTGAAATCACTGTGTGGAGGGTGTTGAGTATTTTATAAGGAACTCCAAACTCTGCAGGACTGGGATTCATCTTACAACTTAACTATTTCCATCGGGTTTTGGAGACCTCTGTATGTCTTCTCTTCTGTTCATGCTGTCCAAAAGTCTGTTGCTATGGAAGTAGCACCTGAAGGTATGTTTTGCCGAAGAACCTGCAATGAAGCTGTTGCATTAGCAAATGGTAATGTATGTACCCCAGAGTTGAGTAAAATAACAGAGGCCACCAAGTTTTTCTTGTTTTTGTGATGAAATGTTGTCGAATTAAGTGATTTGTTGGAACCTTCCTTTAACTTCTGTACAGCAGTAAGCTTAGAGGAACAGAAGATTGCATTATTTTTTAAAAAGCTTTATTTGTGACCCGGACTTGTTGCCTCTGACCCTCTTGGGCTTAAATAGTTAAATTATATTAATGTCCAGTTTGTTTCACTGTAGGTAACACATCTGCTGAATACTCTTGTGCATAATCTACTGTATCTTTCCTCTGTTCTGTGTCAATGTATTATGTGTATTTGGATTACAGTTCTTTTTTTGTATTAAATTATTTTATGTTATAGGACAATATTTAAGCAAAGCAAAGAGCTAATGAAAGTTGTTGGCGTTTTGGGGTTTCTTTTCTCTTTGCTCTTTTTTTGGATGTACTGTAAATTGTAAACCAAGGATGCCAAGCAGGCTTGGTTCAATGGCTGAAATTATTGTATTACAGTGTAATGCTGATCTAGGCCTTGTCTCAACACTAGAGCACACAGACTTGAATAAAACTGTTATAAAAGTGATCGTCTTTAGGCCTCAAGTTCTTGGGTTTGTGCTTCAAATAATTTTGAGCAGATATTTGGAATAGCAGTGGCATTCCTTGCTCTGAGGAATTCAGAGTTTCTCTCAGTTCCACAAGAAGTTTATTTTTCTTTGCTAGGTACCTTGGTCCTGATCAGCTATTTCAGCTCTGGGTCCATCACAGGGTTTTTGAAACCCCAGACAGCTTAGGACTAGTCTTGGCACACAGTACCTGTCTGCTAACTCTGCCCTAGCTTTTCTCTGAACAGGATAATTAATCTCTTACATGTTTATTAAGGGTAATATTTCTGTTAGCCTAAGATTTTTCTACTCTTTATTTAGTATCTCATCCAGAATGTGAATCTGAATGCCTGGATCTGGAGCTAATGCAGTAACACGTTTTGCGCATGATAACATTTAACAGATGGTTTAGATTCACTGCTGGTGCTGTGCCTTTGTCCCTGCCACATCATTCAGTGAGGCACAGTTGCTTGAACAAGGATCTTTTCAAGCTGCGTTCCATCTACTGTTGGTGTGAAAGCCATAACAACGTGGTTTTGGTTCCTAGGTTGTGCCTTTGCTCCTGTGTGCCACAAGCCATCATTTCACATTTCTCTGCTTTAAGAAATGTAGCTGCACTGATGAAGGATGATGTACTAAAGAGACTTGTTGCCTAATTTCCTTTTAAAAGAGATTTTCCTCTATTGTGAGTATGTGTAAGTAACCCTTCACCTTTCCAGCAGATGAGGACAATGAACAATGCACAGGTAGATTACCTTTTGTCATATATTCCATTCAAACTGCTATAGCGATGTTTTTTTGTGATGAACTGGGAGGAGGATGGATAGGCAGTCAATTAAGTTTAGTTATAGATAATAGCATACACAGTGAATCGCCTTTTAAAACACTTATTTTTAACAAAAGGTATCTTGCAATGTTTTATCTTTAAAATTCTCTTTCCCCTCCTTCTTGCCAGATCCTGACTGCCTGAAACTAAAACAAACATTTCTACCTTCTGTAATGTTTTGTGGAGTA